ATTGATTTACCAAAATAGGTCGATTCTTTATTCAACCTACCAAAAATGATAGATAAGGAGTGTCTAATTTTGTGCCTTATGAATTTGATCAAGTCTATTAGTATATTGGAGGTAACCCAAATTTTGTCGTTTGCCAAGTTTTGATGGTTACCTGTTAGCTTAGTTTTTACTTGAACAAACAACTCTCCATTTCTTTTTTATTAGTGGCATATTGTTCTTGAAAGGAAAGCATTGAACCCTTTATGTAGGATTGTGAGGTTTTAGTTTTAGTTTCAAACTATCCATGGGCCGTGTAGTAATTCTAGTGAGCTTTTATATTCTATCTTTCTTGACAATCAACTAACCAACATAATATTATCATTATGAAAATGAAATCCATGATACATTTTTATATTTTATATTCTTAAATGATGATGATATTTTTTCGAGTGTTCGACTCTTTTTATTATTTCTTTATGTATCATCTTGATCGAAGGATTATAAAAAAATTAAACGAGTTAATAGTTTAAACTTAACATAAAAATATAAATAATAAAATATGAACATTCCGATCAACGGGCCGAGTTATAAGCTAGTTATCTAATAATGATGGTTTCTGAGCCTGCTGGCTCTCTCTCACCTAACTAATCTTGTCATGGATAAGGAAGAGGTGCATGGGACGATTGATTGAAAGTTGAAACAGAAAGGTGATCGATTGCTTCTTTCCAACAACTTTGATAAATTTATTCACAAAATAAAATCAACTTGTGAGTTTGTGATAGATTTCAGCTGGTTATGTGTTTATGAAATTGGTCATACACCAAGTTATGATTAGTGGGGCGCCATAGAGCTGGTTTTAGCTAGGTTGTTGAGAAACTGAATCGAGATTATTAGATAGTTTGACAATATCTTTTTTAGAGTTAGCATTGTTTAATCTTAGAACCTAATTGATGTGATTCTTTCCCGGTCAGAAATTACTAAATTTCCGACCGGAGAATTATAAGAAAGACTAGGGAATGACAAGAGAATGACCTCCGATTGGGGATTGAGTCTGATGAGTGAATTTATGTTTTTTGTTTAGGAATTTTTTTTCTTTTCGGGTTTTTGATTAGTTTTATTTTTTCAGTCCTATTTAAAGGGTTGTAAACACGAATTTTTGGCATATTTTAGACGTTGATCATTGAGTTGAGCATGGTTCATCAAATTTACTTTGTGCTATGAGTGGATTCATTAGCATAGAGAGTTGTCTCTGTATCAATTAAGTATTTTCCTTGATTGTGATCGAGCTTCTTCCTTTACATTGTTGAAGCTTTTTCCCTATTTCGTGTTGAAGTTGCACGTTCAATTTCATCTGATCTTTTTAGTTTTTCGTGTTGTCGAGAAAAGTTCAGAAAATCCTAAAAGGATTGAAGCTGCGTTACTTTTATAACTACGAGTACCGGTTTCGTCTTCGTATCACTAATTATTGTAAACTTTTAGATTTACATGTTTAATGTTTAAGGAAGTTGAAATTTTTCTCTGCTAATGCTATGTTCTTTCTTGACATTTCTCGAAAAAACAATTTTCCCTCCACTATATATATAGAATAATAGTAGAATTGACCAGAGTTATTTATTCAGATTACGTATTCTTTGTGGATACTTTGAATTCAACACTACAAGCATACGTTTCTGGGCTTTTATAATGCGCCACCTTAGAGTTTAGTTGAGACTAAAATTTCTGCTCAATTTTCCTATTATACTAGTTAGATACCCGGCCCGTTGGCCGGTTGTGTTTCGTCAATGGTGTAAACAACGACAATAATTATTCAAATGAATATTGATTTTTTTTGCAGCCAATCCATGATCTCTCTTCAAAATTCATTTATTGAATTGTTCAATTTCATATTTTGAAAGAGCTACAAAACTTTAAATGCGAACCACAAAATACGACATCTTTATGGACGAATTTACAATATTTATCCAAGTCTCCCTAGTAATTAGAGTTAATGTTCGTCGAAAATCTTCAGCAAATACAACGTAACAAAAATTCCTCCAAATGTCATGTACTCACTATTTGAATGTTTCGCATGCAAAATGTCTAAGAGAGTTTTATCCACAATTGCAATATTATGTTTTTCAACCACAAGAGCTTTATCCCAAAAGATTAGTGAGGCATTCTGAATCCAATGTGATAGCTCTCTTTCTTGTTCAATATGACATATCGATTTTGAAGCACAGTCTATTGGAATATAAAATGGAGAATGAGTTGTTTGGCCTACAATCATTAACAAAACTCCAATACTGAAAAGAAGCAATGCACAACTCTATTTTCTTTTATGCCTTAGTTTCAAACAAATAACCTCCCAAAGAAATGTTTTTCATGTACGTGCAAACCCATAAAGTTAGAATTAGTTCCATTTTCACCTACAACTTGAACGATGATAATAATTGGTCGAATGAAAATTGATTTTTTTGGATATCCATTCCATGATCTATCTCCAAAATCATTTGTTGAATTCTTCAATCTCATATTTTGAGAGAGCTGCAAAACTTTGAATGCAGACCAAAAATACGACCTCTTGAGAAGAATTTACAATATCTATCCAAGTTCTCTTGTAATTACTGTTAATGTTCTTCAAAAATCTCGAGCAAACACAACATTAATTCCTCCAAAGATCATGTACTCACTATTTGGATGTTTCACATTCAAAATGTCTCTGAGAGTTCTATCCACTATGATTCAGTTTGGCCATGCTGTAGCTTTTGCAGAAGCAGCTTCTGGCTTGAGCTTTTAGAGAAGTACTTTTCAAAAAAAGCAATTGAGTGTTGGGCTGCAAAAACTATTAGAAGTGTTTTTTTAATATGAGAGGTTGTGTAAAATGACTATAGAGGACTTATAATATAAACTATGAATAATAATTATAAACAATAAAATATAGGCAAAATGGATCTTGTTAGACTTCTTTTATATTAAATAGGTTTAATACATTTGTATATCCAAAACTTTCACGGTTGTGCCAATAATATCCAAATTTCCCGAAATACCACTTATATCCATGTTTAAAAGTTGTTCTTTGCCAAATCTATCCATTTCCCAATATATTTTTGGTTAAATACACTTGTATATCCAAAAACACCGTCAAAGAATGTGAAAGAATTGGATATAAGTGGTATTTCGGGAAATTTGGATATTATTGGCACAACCGTGAAAGTTTTGGATATACAAGTGTATTTAACCTATTAAATAATATGATTTTATAATTTATTTTATTATTAAAATGATAAAAATGTAATAAAATTATATTTGCTGAAATAAAATTAAAATATGGTAAGGATAATCTTGTATTTTCAAAACAGCTTTTCGCAGAAGCTCCAAATCGGAGCTTCTGCTTTTATGTTATACTTTGCTTTTCGGCTTTTCAAAAGTCGAGCTTTTAGAGGTGTTTGGCCCTGCTTCAGCTTTTGAAGCTGAAAAGCACTTCTAAAAACCGGGCCAAACATAACTTATGTCAATATTATGTTTATTAGCCATGAGAGCTTAATTCCAAATAATAAGAGAGACATTCTGAATTCACTATGCTAATTTGCTTTCTTGTTCAATATGGTATGTTAATTTTGAATCACATTCTATTGGAATGTAAAATCGAGAATGAGTTGTTTGACCTCCAACTAATAACAAAGCTCCAATATTGAAAGAAGTAATGCACAACACTATTCTCTTAGCACAATTAATGTAATTTTTTAGCTGCTTGGTTTAGATGATTTGATTTCAGGAACTGCTAACCAATTAAACCTATTAACCAATTTACATAAAAAAAACCTATTAACCAATTACAAATTAGCCATATATCAAATTAGAACAAGGTATTTGCAAAGACACGGTTACTGTTCACCTAGACATAATTTACTATTCATTTGGACCCAAAATTACTGTTCACCCTCCCCTGATTGGTCCATGCTCTGCGGCCGCATTTTCTTATTGGCTGCTCAGCTGTGTGTGGGCCGGTTTTTTATTTGTTTTCTGTTGTTTCTGTGTGTGTCGCGTTGCCCTCAAATGGACGCTCATTTTCCCTGCGTTTTCTGCTTCTCTCTATCATTTCCCCTGAGGCCGCCGCATATATAATTATTACGCGCACTGCTTTGCTTTTCTCTCTTGCACGTGGGCATTCTTTCTTGTCTTCCTGGATTGGACAATGATGGGCGCGCCATTTTATACACAACGTTTTGCATTTGGGCCTAGGGGGAGCGGTTTCCTTTGTGTTTGGCCTGATATTTGACAACCGCCGCTTCGGCGACTGGAATCCTTCATTGCTTTTTATTGTTTCATTGGCGGTTCCTTGATTTTACGTTGTCCTTATCTTTTTGTCAATTACAGTGCCGTTTCCCATTTTTTACGTTTCCTTTCGTCATTGGACCGGTAACTGACATACACTACTTTCACGTCTGTTCATTCTTTCCTTCATTTTTTTACTCTTTCGGAACGCCGGAACTTCCCTACTGTCATTCTGTTCTCTTTCTAAAAAATTGTTTCCTCTCTCTTTGGTCCTCTTCTTTTCCCAAACCATGGAGTTTAAGCTGCTTTGTAACCTCGGAGGTCCGCGCAATGCCTGCGTTTCTTTGCGGCTCCGACTGCTGCATGTGTGGCCAGCGAAGTATCCGGGGGACATTAGGATCTACAATTACTGTACTCTTTGGGTCGACGAAACGGTTAGGTTCCTGTCCTTCCCGCCTATTCTTTTCTACCCCCGTTTGCTATTCCCTCTTCGCTTTGTTCATGCGCCAGGCTGGTGTGCTTTTTCGCAGGGTATGCTGATATAGGGCGTCTCGCCGACTTCAATGGCTGCTGGGATTCGTCGTAATCTCTCGGTTGGCAAGATATACGTCATAAAGACTTTTACCCTGAGCAACCCGCCGAATCAGTATCGGGCGTGTTCCTTTGATTTGGCTTTGGGTCTTTCGCCTTCGGCTTCTTTTCAGCCCTGTGTTCTTCCTGCTGAAAGTTTCCCACTTGATGCTTACGAGGCTTTCTCTCAGTTGAATATGCGTGCCAGTAACCATCGTTATTTGACAGGTTAGCAGGTTTGTTTTTGTTAGATTTGCTTTGCTTATATATCTGTTGTTTGTTTACTAAGATTTTACCTTTGTACTATTTTCGTAGATGTCGTTGGCCGACTCAGTTCGATCAGCGGGATATCGCACAAGATCACAAATAACGAGCCTGCAGTCAAGCAGACGGTTATAGTTGAGGATGAAAGGTGTTTTGCACTTTTCTGTGTTTATGGGTTCGGTTGTGAGTGTCGTGTTTGTTATTTGTTTCTCTTACGTGTCCCTGTTTCTTTTCTCAGTGGAGCGAAGGTCTCAATTACGCTCTGGGATGAGTTTTCTGCGGTGTTGGATCATGTTGCTCTCACTCAGGCTGACTCGATTGAAGCTGTGATTTTGGCATTTGGCGGCTTGCTGGTTAATAAGCTGGGAGGTATGTTGTTGCTTCCTTATTGCATGCACGGTTTCGTTAGACTGAGTGTGGTCTATTAGTATGTTATAGTTTTTGTCGTCTTTTATTCTACTTTTCAGATGATTATGTTCTGTCGAGTTCTGCCGCTACTCGCATATTAGTCAATCATGCTGTACCAAAGGCTTATTTTCTTGCATCTAGGTCAGTTAGTTGTGGGCTGTTGCCGATTTTCTGTGTACTGTTGGTGTGGTCCGTTTTTTCCCAAGGCTCCTATGTTGTCTAAATTATGGTGCTTGGATCTCTGCTAGGTTTGCTGAGAAACATGAGGTTGTTGAATCCTTGCCGGTTGAGTTTGCTACTGCCGCTGATGCTACAGCTGATGCAGATCGTCGAACCAGGACTTTGAGTCAGCTGATGGCGTTATCCAAAACAAATGCCTCACTGGTATTGCGTATTCGTCTAAAAAGTTTATTGCTATTATTTCCCCCGTGTTTGGACGTAACTTGCCCTTCTTTTCTTTGTTAGGAAGAGAAGTACCGCTGTGGTGGAGTGATTGTTGATGTCGAGTCAAGCACACATTGGTATTATATTTCATGCAAGTTATGTTCAAGGGCTGTTTCGAAGCGTCATGATGATACATTTTGGTGTCCAAAGGATTGGCAGTTGGACGAGGAACAAACTCGCGTCAAGTATGACCATGTATCATTTTTTGTATGTTTGTTGCCTGTTGTAAGTTTTGTTGCTAATGTTTTTTTCCCCTCAGCTACAAGCTCCAGCTTACACTGAGGGATGACTCCTGTGAGGCCTGTTTTATACTGATGGGGGGGGGGGTGCACTTACGCTGGTGAACGTTTCTGCTGCACATCTGGCACAGAGTTTCCCCCATCGTCCTGGTCATCTGCCCCCACAACTGCATCAGTTACGAGGGCAATATGTCAAGTTTGATTGTAGGTTGCCGTTGCCGGGCCCAACTGGTTTCTCCTCGAGTGAATTCCGTGCGACCCAAGTGGTTCCTCTTGATGATCCTACTGTGGTGGGTGATCTGCTTGAGTTTTCTTCGCCCCCTCCGTTGGCTGCTCCTATGGTGCGCGCATCGAGTATCGTGGGGGGCCCCTCTGGTTCATCGAGGTCAGTGTTGGGTGCTTTGGTTTCTGTGTGTTTTGCTTTGGTCTGTCTGCCATGTCTAAAGTGAAATATTTGTAATGTGTTCTCAAGGGCCTCGAAGGGAAAGGAAAAGGTTTCAGACTCTCTTCTCATTGAAGCTCCAGCTATGCCGTTTAGCATCACTGATGAACCAGATCTGATTGACAGGTATTGACGGTGTTCCCGAAGTTTGTTTTGCTAATTTGCGATGTTGTTCGAGGATGTCACGTGAATCAGTTATTATGATTCGCAGATTTCCCAGTTATGAGGGCAAGGATTTCCGGAACCCTATTTCTGCAAATGTCAGAAATGAAGATATTGATACTGAGTCGCGGGTTCTTGGAGGTTCTTAGGTTTCAGTGATGGGCGTACAGGTGGGCTCTACCCGAACTGCTGCACCTGCTGCGATGTCTTCTGCTGTTCATTCTACTGTACCATCTGTCCAATCTGCTGCTTCAATGATCCCAGACGATCAACAAGAATTGAAGAGTCTATGAGCCGCGAGGATGTTGGTCGTGGCCCATCTATGTCAGCTGCAAAAATTTTAAAGCCATCCCCCGAGTCATCTTCTGGAATGACCTTAGGTTCAACCGTCGTGTCACCCTCGGCATTGCCGTGAGCATTTATGTTCTATATTGTCAGTTTTTTACTGTTTTATGTTTGTGTTATTGCTCCCATTCTTAGAATGAAAACTCTATTTGTTTCAAGGTTGGTTTCTCCGCTGGCCAAGATCAAGGTGGAGAAATTGGATGCTGCCGAAAGTGCTCAGGCGCAACATGGCGGTTCCTCGCAGGCAGGTGTTGATATGGAAAGGGATGCTTCGGTGGATAGTCAGAAAAAATCGGCGGCAAAGCATGGTTTGTTCAAGAAGTGATCATGGTTTCAAGGGTACTCCTAGCTCTGTTGTTTAATCCTATTCTCTCAAAACATTTTTGTTGTAGGTTAGTTTTTGTGCGTGTCATGATTCTTATTATTCCATGTTGTTTGCTGCACGAACTAAAGATGTGTTTGATGATGTCTCTGGGATTGTAGCTGTCTTATGTTCGAGGAGATATTATGTTTCGTTATGCTTTTGCAAATTATTATCTTTTTTTGGACAATCATGTTTTGGGCCTTCAGGTCTCGGAATTGTGTTGTCTGCACCTATGTGGATGTTATCAGAGGATGTATATTCTCTGTGCTTTTCGTTTATGAAGTCGTCTATCTTTTGTCGGATAGTAGTTCTTTTGGCAGTATTGAGGTAGTGTTGGCTGCTATATGTGACTTTTGCGTGGTAGTTTATTGTAATATTGCAACCGGGTTTTTTCCCCTTGTGAGATGTTATATATAATTTAACTTCTACTTATCGTTGCTTAAATAGGTTGTTTCGTTTTGCAGGGACAATGTATGTCCATTCTTAGCGTAGTCATGCTCCTGTTTTGCTAAATGTTCGTTGATTCTTCCTCTTAAAGTCTAACAAACTCACGTTTTATACAATAATTAACCTATTCTATAAATTTAGTTACCAAGATGTGTTAAAATATGTTCGACATTTTGTGGAATTAATAGTCCTGAAAACACACGTTTGAACATATATGAGCAATTGGAATAGGAATGTGTTAATTATGTTGGATCCCAATATTTATGGATTCCAATTGAGCCCACATGTTCTGAAATGGAAAATTACTCGAGCAATTTCCTCCATAATTGCTTTTGTCGCCGTAATGAAGCCTCTTTCTATACAAAGATTAAACTAATATGATTGCTTTTTCTCATTTTATTAATTTAGCACATTGTTAGATATTTTTGGAGTGGTAAAGCAATATACTAATGCATATCTAATATCACGGATACCCATAATAGCACATTTTAATATAGGTAGATATGATTGCATACCTCAAATATCCATGATGATGCATTTTAACGCAGTTCTTCTTCTTCATTGGGGTTGTGTCAACTTCTCTAGGAACATCTCCCATCCCACTCTGATATTTCATCTAAGATTTCCTCATTTGTATCTTATGCTTGCCAGCCGATTTGGACAGTAATCTACACAACCACCACGCCTTTGATTGTTCAAGGTAGAGTGAATCTTCAATTATGTCCGTTATTGATTCATTATATCCAATTTCATCTCAGCTCTATTAATGAAGCGTCCCAGCAATAAATGACGTTGATCCTTTACATGCTTTTGTCTAGACTGTGCGGCAATGCCTCCAAGAATAAGAAAAGCTCAATATAAGACTTTAACACGTAAAAGAGCTAGAATTGAAATTCCCAAACAGCCATCAGAGGATCTTACAACTACTTCAGCAGTGTTTGGGGAAACATCTGTTGTGTCTCAGAGCACCATGCGGGGGTCATTATTGAATCTTCATCAAGTTTCGCCATCGCCAGCTGGTGATAAGTTAAAACATTATTCTATGTCTGCTGTCTGAAGCATGAAATATCCATGCCTGTATTATGCGTTACTAACATTCGTTCATATCGGCCGCTTACCGTAGTATACTTACCACTCTTATGTTTGTTGTATACATATCAGGTCCATCACGACCGAGGAAAACACGCTGTCAGAATATGAAGCAATTGGGATCCAGAGATATAACTCGACCCATATTTTGTCAGGAACAGGGTATGCGTGATATGGGGGATGAATGTAATGAAAGCATCGGTCGAGTAACACAAGCAAGCCGTGAGAAAACTGATCGTTTGAATCGGCGGAATTTGGGCGGAGCTCCATTCTGTGCTAGGCATATTCCCACGACTAGAAAACCACTCCACAATGATATTCTGGGGATTGGTCAGCCAGAGTGTGTTTGTAAATACTGTGGTGCTTTGTTTTGGGATATGGAGAGGCTCGACCGCCATCGAGCGACGACTAATCCAATTTATGCATTATGCTGTCAAAAAGGTCGCGTTGGTTTGCCGCTCTTAGCACAACCTCCACATTTGTTGGCTGAACTTCTGCGGTTTGATGGTGGCGCTATGTCCAAGCATTTCGAGGACAACATTAGACCGTATAATCGTTCATTGTGTTTCACATCATTTGGCGCTTCTATCGACCCTCGCTCTCTCTCTGGAAGGGGGCCTTATTCAATGGTAATATGTGGAGAAAATTATCATAGGATTGGTTCGTTGTTTCCTCCTGATGGTGAAAAACCAAAGTTTGCCCAGCTCTATATTTTTTAACCAGAGAATGAAATTGACAACCGTTTGGCAAATTTTGCTTCCCGTGATGCTCTACTTATGCCAGAATTACTCACTTTATTGCTACAAATGCTGGATCAAAACAATCAACTTGTCAAGACATTCAGGCGAGTTCGACAGCAGTTGCAGGATTCTACAACGACAAATTTGAAGCTTCGAATTTTTGGAGCTAAGAGCAGAAATCGACAGTATGACTTGCCAAGCAGCACTGAAATCGCGGCACTCATACCAGGCGATTTTGTTCCAGACAGAGACGATCGAGATATCATTGTTGATCACATTTATGAAGGTTTAAAGAGAATTACAAGTCTCAATCCAAAATTTGATGCATTGCATTTCCCGCTCTTATTTCCATATGGAGAGGATGGTTATCATCCGCTTATCAAATACAGGTCAGCTTTCTGTCCTCCTTCTATGCGCAGACAGTTTGTTACTCAGCGTGAATACTACACATTTAGGCTCCAATATCGCATCAACGAAAGCCATACAATTGTTCAAGCTGGAAAAGCTCTTCAGCACTTTTGTATTGACGCCTATTCATCATTAGAGTTAAATAGGCTGGCTGCGCTACCGTCAGCCACAACTTAGAGCTGAAGTTTATCAAGGCTTACAGGATGCAATGGCGCGGGGTGATCTCGACGGGGATAAAGTGGGTCATGTTGTCCTCCCAGGGACTTATATAGGTAGCCCACGATATATGCAACAATTATATCACGATGCAATGGCGGTGGTCGAATTCTTTGGAAATCCGGATCTATTTATTACATTTACGTGTAATTCGTTGTGGGAAGAAATCACAGAAGCTTTTCACGATATTGTTGGTCCAAATAGCTCGGACAAACCAATGGTGGTTTCAAGGGTTTTCCACATTAAGCTCAGCATTTTTATTGATGACATTAAGAAAAACTCCTACTTTGGGAAGACGATTGCAAGTAAGATCAGCCTGGTCATTTAATGTAGTTTGTTTTTTTTCAGCGTTGACTATCATTTGTCTTTCAATGCACGTATATGGGTATTTGGCTTCTTAACAGGTTTTGTTTTGTGCCAGTAATGTATACAGTGGAGTTCCAAAAAAAAAGGTCTGTCCCACATACACTTGCTGGTTTGGCTGGCCGAGGAGAATAAACTGAGGACAACTGCTGACATTGATGAGGTTATCTCAGCTGAAACTCCTGACCCTCAACAAGATCCAGTTGGGTATGAGGTTGTTTGCAAATATATGTTACATGGCCCATGCGGCGAAGCAAACACAAATGCGTCGTGCATGCGAGACAAAAAACAATCCTCAAACTGCAGATGCTCCAAACAATTCCCAAAAGAGTTTAACTCAACCACGTCATTTGACAAATTCGGAAATGTCGTCTATAGAAGATCAAACTCGGGCATAGAGGTTCAAAAGGGCAGTTCAGTCCTCGACAATCGACATGTTGTTCCATACAACCGAAATTTGTTGGTGAGAATGCAGGCTCATATCAATGTCGAGGTATGTCATAAAGGCAAACTTATTAAATATCTTTTCAAATATGTGACAAAAGGTCCAGACAGGTCATTGGTGATTGCTGAAAATGCTGATGCACCTCACAATAATGTAGAAGTGCAATCCGTGAAATACAGAGATGAAATTCAGCAATTCATTGACTGCCGATCGTTATCGTCTTATGAAGCTATATGGAGGTTGAATGAGTATCCAATACATGTAAGAGAGCCAACAGTTGTGCGCTTGGGAGTTCATTTGGATGGTCAGCAAAAAATACCTTATAAAAAGCAATCCAATGTTCGAAATGTTCTGGGGAATTCTTATGCCGGTAGGATGCACTTAACAGAATGGTTTGCGCTTAATCGTAGAGACCCCCAGGCGAGAATTCTGACATATGCACAGATACCCAACAACTACACTTAGCTATCTGACTGTAAGGAGTGGAGTCCTCGAAAGAAAGGATTCGCAATAGGCAGAATTGCATATGTTCCACCAGGTTCTGGCGATGTTTTCTTCCTCTGTATGCTGCTCACAAAAAATCGCGGCGCTGTTAGTTATGCTCACCTCAGGACTGTCAATGGAGAACTTTGTGCAGATTTTGAAAAAGCTTGTGAAAAATTGGGCATTTTATCAGACTCTTCAGAATGGATACGAGTATTAGCAGATATCTCATCTTCTAGCATGCCACGAGTGATTCGAAGCACTTTCGTGTCAATGCTGATGTTCTGTGAAATACCAAGCCCGATAACATTGTTCAACTCTTCTTGGAAATCTATGTCTGAAGATTATGCGTATAGTTTAATCAAGGATTTCAAAGATCAGACTCTGAGGCCTAGCGACGAACGACTGTAGAACTGGGTTCTACATCAACTATAGACTATGTTGAGCTCACACTCAATGACTCTTGAGGACTTTAATCTTCCACTCCCATCAGATGGTTTATGCGATAGTGGTGAGAATCCATTGATAAACAAGCATCTTGCTTTCGATGTAGGCCAGCAACATGCATTGGCCACCACAATGTTACAGTCACTGAATGTTGAGTAAACCAATGTGTATTCAGCCGTTATCAATTCAGTACACAACAAGATGGGCTGTGCTTTCTTCCTATACGGCCACGAAGGTACAGGCAAAACATATCTCTATAATGTAATTACAGCAAGGCTTAGGAGTTTGGGGAAATAGTTGTTCTGGTTGCATCATCAGGTATAGCAGCAACACTTCTTCCCAAAGCATCCACAGCACATTCAAGATTCAAAATTCCTCTGATTCTGGATGCAACATCGACATGTCCAATTAAACACGACACACATTTAGCTGATCTGTTAAAAGAAGCATCCTTAATCATACGGGATGAGGCGCCCATGACACATTGACGAGCTTTTGAAGCAGTGGATCACAGTTTATACGATATATTAAATGTTCCGCTGAATGGACATAGCTATAAACCTTTTAGAGGAAAGACTGTTCTTTTTGGTGGAGATTTTCGTCAAACTCTTCCGGTTATAACCGAGGCTGGGCGTGAACAAACAGTTGATAGCTCATTGACTAGATCCAAAATATGGAGTTATTTTAAAGTTATGTAGCTATCTACAAACATGCGAATCACAAAAGCCCAGCATGCTGACCAACGACTAATACATGGATATACATTCCCAGGATGGGTCCTCGCTTTAGGAGATGGAAAACTTAAAGCAAGATCATTCAGAGAAGATGCCCCAATTGATTGGATACAGATTCCACAACTGTTCCTAATTGATCCTGGATTTGATCCTGTTCAGTCAATCGTAGATGATATCTATGATTCGTTCCCCCGAAATCATAGACACCCGGCGTACCTCACCAGTAGAGCCATAATTACTCCAACGAATGCAACTGTTTCTACCATTAATAATTTTATGATACAGAATGTTCCAGGAAATCCGACAACCTATTACAGCTCAGACTCGCTACTGCTGTCGACAGAAACAGCGGATTCGTTTGATGAAAGCTATCCAACTGAGTTTCTCAACACTCTTACATTCAACGGAGTACCAGACCACGAGATCACATTAAAGGTAAACACACCAGTTATGCTCTTACGCAACTTGAACCCTGGTCTTGGCTTATGCAACGGCACAAGAATAATGATCACATCGTTGGAGGACAACTATATAAAAGGCAACATTATGGGCGGTTCTTATGACACTGATGAGGTCATTATACCAAGAATAGTGTTGAATGTGGAGAACTCCAAGTGGCCCTTTATACTCAAAAGGAGGCAATTTCCAGTGCAATTATGCTATGCGATGGCTATAAATAAAAGCCAAGGACAAACACTCGAAAAAGTTGGGATATATTAGCCTGAACCAGTGTTTAGTCATGGCCAACTCTATGTGGGAGTTTCAAGAGTAAAATCGGCAAGAGGTTTGAGGATTCTTATAGAAAACCCACCAGAAATACCTCATCACTTTACAAGAAACATAGTCTTCAACGAAGCATTTGCCAATATAGTGGATACCTAAACTACTTATCAGGTAATTCCATTAAACCTATTAAACTAAAAATGTTCGCATCAGTAAATGTGGATGAAATAAATTGTTTTTTCTTTTGTAGGATCGAAGAAATTCACTGACGCACTCACTTTGACTATTGCCTACCCACCGGTTATTGTATTTTGTCCGTATAGAAGACCCTGATGTTTGTATCTTAATAGTTCAGAGAGGTGAATGTTTTGTCTTGATCATGCGTCCAAATCATGAATGATCAAGAACTACATTCACCTTCTTTTGGCGATCAGTTCCTCAAACACATATTGCAGTTTATATCATATAAATGGAAGCTCTGAGTTATTAGAACCGTATTTATCTAAATTTTAGATAAAAAAACTCAATTTTGTACAAATTGCCTCGCCTGGACCACAATCCACAAAACTATAGGGCAATACGAAGATAAATCAGAAAACATACAGGCCCGTTGTTCAAGCCCATAATACAATGACCAATGTAAACCCTTCATAGTCACAAACATGATTTAAATAAAAGCCCATAATATAGGCCCGTCCAAACCAAGCGATCCTCTTTAAAACCCTATCCTCCCTCATCAACCATCGAGAACCGTCGTCCACATCTTCATCAACCTTTCTCCGCCGAGGAAGCCCCACCACAGAAACTATCAGACAAACTTTAAAACAAAGGTAAGTCCATGTCTCTCTCTTCTTCACCGCTTTTACTGCTGAAACAACATTTCTGGTCGGTATTTGTATTGTTCGCACAAAGACCCCACTTGGCATGGAGAGTTTAGCCAAAAATCGTCAGTCAACAGATGGCGCTCACATGGTCCCCACCGATAGCAAAGGTGAGCAACTTCCATTTTCGTAAACAAATCCTCCCAACAATCTCGATTCCTCTGCAAGAAAGATAAAAAATCCATTTCGTTTCCCTTTATTGTCTTATAGATCCGATTGAAACTTGCATGCCATTTCGGGGTTTGCGTTTGGGCACAAACATTCGCATAGTGATTGCTTGTAACATCTCGTTCCGGCAAAACCCATATTTCGATCGCTAGAAAGTTCGCGATTTAAAATCGAGCGTTTTGATAGTTTTTCAACGAAAATCGGATGATCGATCGATCGGATAAGTATACGTATTAATTATATATATAAAGCGGTCGGGGCCGCATATAAATAATTTCCCCCGGTCCATTTTAATTCTCATCTTCTCATTTCCATCCGCGAGAGAAGCAGAGAATCAGAGAGCGTACAGGGGAGCTGGGGAGAATTTCCAAAGCTCGAATCTTGAGCCCTAGTGATCCAAAAATCCCGTAAGTAATGCCTAATTCATCCATGCATCATGATTTATCAATTTAGAGCTTTAAAAGGAGTTTTTGGATCAGGAATTTCTTGAATTCCCGATAAGCCAAATTAGGATTTCGGAGTATCCGGAAGCCGGATTGAGCCCAAATTTCATATACGAGCTTCCTGCAGCGAGGTAATCAACCCTCTAGTTCTAATCCCTGAATTTAGGCTATTATTTCGGTCAGATCCGGAATCGCTGAATTTAGCTCCGGCCAGGGTTTGATGTGTTTTTATCAAGAATTTCACCCAGAGCCTAGAACTAATATTGACAGGGATACTGCAGGGGATATTAGGACGGTCTCGGATTTTAATTCGGGGTTCGTTCTTAAAATTGACATTTTAGTACGGGAAGGTTAAACCGGTGTTTGAACGACCAGAACTGGTGAGGGATTAGCACGGCATACCGGGTTTGTCGTATCACGATAATTATATTGATGCTTAGAATTGATCTAGGTGAACTAGAATGGCATGATTAGGGGTGTATGGACTTTTATGCTATATGATGAATCATGGATTGTTGTATGATATTATTGACTTGCCCTAGCCGATATAGACCTTGTTTATGTTGATGATTGCTTACATGTTGCCATTTGTGGCTTAACCGTTGATATGACTTCATGGCTGTTCGATCAGGTGTTTTGACATGATGTGATATTGTGGTTGTTTTTGGATTCACAAGTGGGGGAAATAAACTTCCCAGGGCGATATTATGATGTTTAAGGAGGATGACTTACACGAGGGTTTATCCCGAGGAAGTGCAATTATACGACTCGTGATTTACCTATGTTGAGCCAATTATGGCCAGGTCAAGTACATGTGCAAGTAATGAATTATGATTAAGCAAGATGAGATATGAATCATGTATAATGATACCAAATATGAGTGTTGTGGTCTCATGGTCAACTACATAGTAATTATGGCTCCCTATGCTATTACTCTATTATGATATGTATGATAGTCACACCTCTCATATGGTGGTGACTGAAGAACTTTTACGAGATATGACCACACCCAGAGCGGTGTCGGGGTATGACTACACCCATAGTGGTGTGGGGTATGTATGACTACATCCGACGGGATGTGGGGTATGTTTCCCGGGAGAGTTATTAGCATGGGAGTAGCCAGGCGCCTATGAGTAAAACATGATAAGATGCATATGCATAAGCCAAGGTGGTTGAGTCTTTTGCCTATTGGGATGTCGGAGGGCTGAGATCTAATCCCAGTGCTTTGGCTTGTTTGCTAGATGTATGGTAGGGGTATGCTCTGTTATGAACTCACGATGCTATGATTATCTCACTCAGCTATGAGCTGACCCTCTTTATCCTTTTTCTCTGATTATGCCATGTGTAAGCAGATCATCATCATCAGCAGCAGTAGATAGGTGTATAGGTGGGAGCTGAGAAAGAGTTGAAGGCAAGATGAGGTATGGTCTTCAACCATTCTGTGCTTGGACTACTACTCGGGATTTTGGCCAGTGATCCACACCTTTTTGTAAAAGAATGTTTTGAGAATGTTTTTCATGTGCATACTAGCTTCTGATGTAGTGTTAGATATCCACAGGTGTGGCAAGTTAATGATATGTGTATATTTATGTGGTTGTGTAAGTTATGACGATTATGGCTTGTATCAGTATGGTATGCAGTTGTGTAGTATGAAAGTGTGACTATGGCTAAGAAAAGCCAATGCATATGTTTGTGTTGAATTATTTTGCAGGATAAGTTGCAAGAACTGTTAGCCCATTACGCGAGTAATTCATGACGAAATTTTATTTGGGTAAATTTTGATAATTAATGTAACACCCGAGATTAATTCCGCTGCAATTGTATGAACAATATGATTAGGCAAAACGTATAGGGTAGGGTGTTACATTGCTCGGCCTGTGATGACGTGGCTCGAATTCCGAGAGGCACCCGGGCTTAAAAACCTCAGCATGCACATGATTTGGATAGACAAGAAGGTTCATTTACAATTTAGTTACAGGATTGCATAACCTATTCATAAGTGCTTTTAAACCAGTGTACCATGTAGTTTGAAACCGCTAAACTGTTTATCTTATAGGCACGATTGATCGAGTCGTGGTTAATGAAAAAGACATCAGCGAGATTTCTCGCAGGATTAAAGTCGGGAACCTTTATCGTTTTGATTCGGTGATGGCTATACCAGCAAGAGAGAATCCTAGGATTGTTGCAGGAGAGTTAAAGATACACATAACTCCCGAACAAAACATCTCCAGAATTGAAGAAGACCCAGATGAGCCACGATTACCCATCGGCTGGGACATTGGGATGGCCTTTTTGATAGTACCACTTCAGACAAATACCATTGACTATCTTACAGGTACGCTTGACTATCTCAGTTTCCCATGCTAAAATAAATGTAAACTTTAAAATGACAAACTCTTCTGTCAACCATAGATATCACTGCATGCGTCAGGCGTATCAATGTTCCTACAACAGTTCGGGGTACTCTCAAAGAATTCCACATGGTCATACAGGATGTGAGGTGCGTTCTATAGAATAATATACTACTTTATCAATTATATGAATCATCAACCTCACATGCATCTGCCACAAACAGTGGCGCTAAGGCAACTGTTCTGTATCGAGGATATGACATTTTGAAGTTCTTAGAGGATGCGCTGACAGCCTAGGCTCACCTGCCCCTCATTGTTAAAATCAAATATGCTATTCGAGTGTCGTCTCTATCCAGCCAGAAATATAAGTATCATTTTGAATCCACCCCTGCCACTGAGTTGATAATCAGATCTTATACAGGCACATTCAAGGAAATTATGCACATGTACACTCCTCTTTGAACAAGTGTTATTCATTCTTCCATTCATATATACTGCCAATCAACCAGAACAAAGATAACACTTTTTATTATTTTGCTACAACCAGCTTCCTTCATAGCCGCAGGTAGGTTTACTACGCCAACAACAGTAAGAAAACAGACTGCCTTCGATCAACAGTTGAAAAGAAAACACTCGCTGACATCAAAGCTATGCTTGCATCTGATCAGAGCTGCCACAAGGTTAGTTGGGACAAAATGCTTCATAAATAGCTACATCCCGCAATTACATTTTACAAACAAACATATCTAACTAAGATGTACCATTCATATTAGGTGCTTTACTGTGACAAGTTCCACATATCACAGTTGAAATTTCGAAAAGGTATCTGCAGAGCATTTGAGGAATGGCCAGAGTAAGTTCCTATTTCAATGTGAACATCACATCTATTATTTCCTAATTTATCCACAAATAAGCTAACATAACTTCTCGCTTATATTTATGACTAGCTTGCACTATCAGCTCGAAGTCAAGTGTGAACAAGGATCTGATGATATTGATGCCATACTAGACCATGAGGCAACTCTCTCAATAATCGGAATGTCACCAAACAAGTATGTGAAACTCGATGCGGAAGCGGCTAAGGCATTGCTGATCAAAAAATGCAGCAGAATGTTTGCAGGTGAGCTGTACATCGGTTCCTCAGATCTGAGGAACAGAACCGCACCAGCCAAACCTCACATCAGAGTTTCAACACTTTGGCATACCTCAAGAATCGACAAGTGATCGTCAACACCAATGACAGAAAGAGTCCCTGATGCGTGTTATCTACCTCTATTATCCTCCTTCCTTAACTAAGTTTTCATTCTCCAAGTCCAATGAGGACAAAACAATGTTTAAATTTGATTAGGCAGTTCGCTAGGACTTCTGGATTTCACAAGGCTGTTATGTACTATCTTTTGTTTTTATGCCTTGATACACTAAATCCCCATCACAGTTTCGTGCACCCAACTATAATGTATCTACAATGCCATCATTCTTGGTTTGACAACAATGATGCTTGATGAAGACAGCTAGGTCACACAATCGAGCGGCCCCGTGTACGCTGATAACATATATTGACATTTCTACGCGACAGAGCATGGCCTAAGCTTAACAATACCATAGAAAAAACTCTATCCAACAACTATCTCAACCATTTCCAGATTACATGCATACAAAAATATATCATGATCCATGAAATTACTCAAGCCAAACTTATCCCGCCGCGGAGCGCGGGCTGATTACTAGTATATTATATAATGCATACTTAATACTTTGCACAACCACTAAAGAGCCAAGCGTTCTTTCTTTTTTGAACCCATTATCATAAAGTTCATTCATATGTTATATTTGTTCTTGTTGAATGTAGGTAACAACATATATCCTAATTTAGATAAAGCTCGTACATTATATTGGATGAAAACATGAAAAGAAGGTCTTTTCAGCCTCTAATAACTGCTAAAAGAATAAGCAATTCACATAGACATACTCATACCCAATTCATTATTGCCTCTATAACATTGGTATATATTTCGTTAGGTGGCTACTTCTAATGATTGTAAGATAATTACATTAGTTGTGTAATTGTGTAAAAGGGTAATTTGATTGTTATGTTTTATTCATTTTAAATATTATGTATTAAATAAGAGTGTTTTTCTCGCGTAATGATAATGTTATGTTACATAATCTGATTGACCAAATAATTAAACAAATTAAACTTTATTTTTGTTAATTTGATTGGTTTGATGAGGATATTGTACTTCATGGTTAATAGAAATTAAACCTACTTGGTTTAGTAGTTACTATGATAACCATTTGAGTAACCCCTAATAAAAGTGTTTGATAATTTCTGTACATATACGCTTTTGACTTATATAAAAAGAATGTATCTTTGTTCATAATTTTACGAATGGTTGATCAATTCTCTTCAAACCAAATTTATTAAATTTGCGAAGATGTACCATGGAGAGCAGTAATTTTTTAATATGGATAGTGTGAAATAGTTGGAGAAATTATAAACAACTTATAGGGCTAAATTGCAAGTTTGGTCACTGGAATTACTTAAAAAATTCACGTTTGCCACTAAAATTAATTTATTTCATCGGTAGTCACTTAAATTAAGTTAATAGTTCAAGTTTGGTCACTGGCCGTTAGTCTCCGTTAACTTTTGCTGATGTGGCGGTCAACTCTTATAGTTGACCGTTAAATTAGTGACGTGGCAATTAAAAAATTAATAAAATAAAATAATTTAATTATTTTATTTTCCACCTAATTATTATAAAAATAAAAAAATCATAATTCCTCTTTAATTATTATTTTCCACTCACCATTCCTCTCCCCTCCGGTCGACGACCTCTCTCGGCCGGCCAAGCCCCGCGCCATCACCGTCTTGTCCACCGACGTGTACTGCTGCTCCATGTTGTTGCTGCTTGCGTCGTTTAAGTTAATAACCGTACGGAAAGGGAGTACCGGCGGCGTCATTTGGGCCGGCGCGACAATTTCCCGCTTGGTGGTGGAGTTGTAATTAATGTTTATTATTATGTTATTTAGAGCTTATAATAATAAGAGCGGAATGCGACATGAAAACCATTTCTATTGCAAGTGGATTTATTTTTTCCAAGTAATGATATCGTTTTCACCAGCCTGTTCAATCCTTCCCAAGCGTCGCCCCTGTTTTCCATGTACACAAAAACAGAGTAAAAAAAAACAGAGCAATCCAAAGAAAAACAGAGCCCAAATCGGATTTATGCAAAACTCTCCTTCAAGAGACTGAACATATTTGAAATTGTAAGCCCAATTCTCCTTCATCCCAAAATATCCCCAATTCCAGAGATTTGAAAATCAGGGGAGGAGAAAGAACAAAAACGGAAGAAGCTTTTGCAGATGAAATTACCTCGTCGTCATGGTATGAGGACCGTCTCCTTGCGGAGAAGGCAAGGTGAAGCCCTCTGGCCATGTCCCGATCGTAGAGCGCCCTCTGTCTGGGATCCACAGCGTCTCGTAGGCCTCCTGGACCCGAATGAACCTCTGGGTATACTCCTTGACCCGATCCGGCGGCGAGACGTCCGGGTGGTACTTCCTGGGCAGGTGCTTGTAAGCCAACTTAATATCTCTCAAGCTCACCGACTCCGGTATCCCAAGCAGATCGTAGAAGCCCATCTCCGCCGCGGGTGCCGTGTACGCGCCGGAGGAGGCGGTTTCCTTCATGGTGGCCCTCATCCTGAAGGACACCATAGACGAGAGACCGAGAGAAGGCCGGACCCGGAGAAGCAGGTCGGGTAATCTGGCGGTGGAGGGAAGTGAGACGCCGAAGAGAGTGGCATCGGTTGTTGGCATCGTCAATCAGCAACTCGTCATGTTGATGGAAATTATGTATTTTCAGGTTTTGATCTTCGATTTTTTTAGTTTGATTTCTGGGTTCTGATTAGTGGATTGTAATTAGGTGGAAAATAAAAAATAATTAAATTTTATTTTTTATTATTATTTTAATTGCCACGTCACTCATTTAACGGTCAACTATAAGAGTTGACCGCCACATAAGCAAAAGTTAACGGAGACTAACGGTCAGTGACCAAACTTGAACTGTTAACCTAATTTAAGTGACTACGGATGGAATAAATTAATTTTAGTGGCAAACGTGAATTTTATAAGTAATTCCAGTGACCAAACTTGCAATTTAGCCCAACTTATAGTTATAATCAATGTGCATACCATCAGCCAATTATTCTACACTTCATTCATATAGAGATTGGTAGAATCAATTAGGAATATAAAAACTTTTATAAAATTAAGAGAAAGAAATTGCAATGATAGGGGAGAACTGATGCAAATTGATTGAAACGTGTGCCTCAAGAAATCAAAGGGTTGAGACAGATGATGTTTGTGAAATCGTACTATACCGATGATCTGATCGAAAAACTTCATATTGAAGGTTAAGTCAGTGTAGAAATTATACCAGTATAAAATGGTTGAATTACAATTAAACGATGATGAAACTTTATCGAACTGTACGATTTTGATTACAAAATTTTGCTAGAAGATTTGAAGGGCTAGACGTGTTAAGACTTAGTAGAGAAGCTCCCAAGTAAAGTAACTTCTCTCTGTCGCTTCATTTATATTTGGCAGTGGTTCAATATAATTGCTACTAGCACAATGCATGCCCGTTGGCCGGATGAGTAACATCAATAGTATAAACACTATTAGTAAATGCCTCAAGCTACGTTGTCGTAGTCTTGTTGAACTTTTCTTTGATATATTGTAATAAATATAATTTTTTCACCTAAAAATTTCTAAAATAAGATTTGAGACCAAGATATGTATGTTATCCCAAAGATCTAGAAAATTTGTTCTGTTCTCTTCTCTCTCTAACCTCTCTCTAAACTCTCTCGCTGCTGCTCGTTTTCTCGCGATTGCGATGGCTGCCTCGTCGTCGGATTCTGCTCCGACGACGGGCAAGGTTTTGGGGGGATGCACCTGGGCGCAGTTATTTGATATCGCTCCGGAGAATCGGATGAAGTATCGGCCTCCAGAGCGTGTTAACGATGGGTTTCGCATCCCTCGGGAGGTAAAGCAAAAGGGGGAAGAGCGATGGCGAGATTGCTTGATCGGGCAGTTCGTCGGAGCTCAACCTAAGGTGGCGCAGTTACAGACATGGGCTACCTCAATTTGGGGGGGAGATGGGGCTGTCAGGGTTTCCAGATTTGGACCTCGTTTGTTTGTTTTCCAGTTTCGTTCTGCATCAACCAGTAAGTGGGTTTTCAGATCAGGACCATGGCACTATCAAGGGAATCAACTCTACCTCAGGAAGTGGACGCCGGGGATACAATCAGTTGCTCCTCAGGTAGAATCTCTTCCTATCTGGGTTAATATCTGGGGTATTCCTTTGGAGTATCACTCGGTGGAAGGGTTGGAATGGGTTGCTAGCACAGTTGGCCCGCCTCTTTGGATGGATAAAACCACAAGGGTGGGTGGGCAATTGGGATATGCAAAAGTCTGTGTCGATCTTGCTGCGGACTGTGGTTTTCCATCTTCAATTCGTCTCTATCCGGATGAGGATCCGAGTTTTGCTGTGGAAGTAGAATATTTGAATTTACCTAGGGTCTGCCCTGTCTGTGCTGTTTATGGTCATGACTGCAATGCTCTGGCTCGAAGTAATAAGAAGTGGGTAGTAAAGCATAAAGTTCAATCTAATGTTGAGACAGGATCAGGGGAGGCTTTTGTTGATTCTGGAGTGTTGTCTGTGGTTGGATCTGAGATGCAAACTGGAGTGGAACCTGCAGGGAGTCATGTAGTTCAATCTGTGGTTAATGCTGTACTGAGTGACAAAGCACAGTTAACAGAACCTGTGGCTATTAGTGTGGATGTTCAGGATATCTCTAATTCTTCTACAAATGGGAATGCAAATGCTCGGTTTGTGGACGTGGTAATGGGATCATCAGTTGTTACTGGGAGTCCTAGTGCCTTACTGCAACAGCCTGTTGTAGCTAGTCCGCCTGTTTCAGGGAAGCTAGTTACTCAGAATCCAGTACTTGTCAAAGAGATTAATCCTTGGATAACTGTTGGTTCTAAGAAGAAACCTACTCCTCCTAAAGTGCTTGAGCCTATTCTTCCTCGGAAAGGGGGAAGAATTGGGAAGAAGAAATGAAGATACTCACATGGAATATCCGGGGATTTAATGACCCGGATAAGAATAAGGCTGTACAGCAGCTGATTACTACACATAATATAGATATTATAGTTATACTAGAGCCTAGAGTTAGAAGTAATAAAGCTGATGAGCTGATAAATAGACGGTTTTCTGGTTGGAAGTTTAAGGTTTCTAATAATGCTGATGGGCTGGGGAAGTTGTGGCTTTTGTGGAAAGAAGACATAAAACTACAGGTTTTACATACTACAGATCAACTTATCCATGTTATGGTTGGGTCTGGGGTTCCTTTCTTTTTCTCTGTCATTTATGCATCTAATGAGGAGGTTGATAGAAGATGTCTATATTCTGATTTGGTTAAGTATCAGGTGGACTCTCTTCCATGGGCAGTTTTAGGAGACTTCAATGCAATTGGTAATCCAAGTGAAGCTTCAAATCATCCCCAAGTATCTAGTAGCATGACTGAATTTAAGAAGTGGCAGTATGATTGTGAGGTAGAAGAGCACAAGGCCTCAGGGCCATGGTTTACATGGATTAATAAACAGCAGAGTAATCCAATAGCTAGGAGACTTGATAGAGTTTTTATAAATACTAAATGGCTGACTGACATGCCTTTGAGTACAGTGGATCTTCTTGATCCCTCAGTCTCAGATCATTGCCCCATCCTGCTTGATTCTGATTGTACAGTGAAATCATTGCCAAAAATGTTCAAGTTTTTTAAATTCTGGATCCAGCACCCTCAGTTTATGGACTTGGTAAAACAGGCTTGGAGTTCACAGGTAGCTGGATCTCCTCTGGTTCGAGTTTGTCAGAAACTGAAGATCTTGAAGGGATTATTAAAGAGGCTTAATAGAGAGGTGTTCTCTGACTTATCTGCTAGGGTGAAGCTGAAAACTGCTGAGTTACTTCTGGCACAGGCTGATGCTCTTAGCCATCCATCATCTATTACCTTTGAGGTTGAGAATAGGCTTTCGAAGGAAGCTAAAGAATTGAGAGAAGCTGAGGAGTCCTTTTTTAGACAAAAATCTAGAGAAATTTGGCTGAAGGAGGGAGATTCAAACACCCCTTATTTTTTCAGGTCAGTCAAACTCAGACAGAAGAGAAATATGATTAGGTCTCTCAATGATGAGGCTGGCAATAGGGTTACTGATTTGGAGGGTATGACTAAGATAGCTGAAGATTTCTATGTCAAATTACTGGAGAGGAGGATAAAGAGGTGGTTGCACCTGAGGTAGATCAGATTGGAAGCTTGTTGTTAAAGAAACTCATCCCTGAACAGGGGGTTGACTTATGTAAACCAGTTACTGCTGAGGAGGTCAGGGCTACAATGTTTGGCTTTAATGGGGACAAAGCCCCTGGGCCTGATGGGTATCCAGCTTGTTTTTTCCAGGCAGCTTGGCACATTGTTGGAGCAGAGGTAACAAGTGCAATATTATACTGTTTTCAAGTGTCAAATATTCCATTAAGTGTGAATTCTACACTATTAGCCCTTATACCAAAAGTTAAGAGTCCAGAAGAAATGAAGTTTTTTAGACCAATAGCATGCTGCAATATTCTTTATAAGTGCATAGCAAAGATTCTTGCAACTAGGCTAAGTGCAGTTATGCCTTGTGTAATTAGTGAATCCCAAACTGCTTTTGTTAAAGGTCGTTTAATTGGGGAAAACATTTTGTTGGCTCATGAACTAGTCCAGAAGTATGGTAGGAAAAACATTTCCTCAAGATCCTTAGTCAAAGTTGATTTAATGAAAGCCTTTGACTCTGTAAATTGGATCTTTCTGTTTAGAGTGCTTACAGCCATGGGGTTTCCTAATAAATTTCTTGATTGGCTGAGAATGTGTGTTACTACACCTAAGTTCAGTATTGGGTTTAATGGTGGGTCAGTAGGTTTCTTCCCAGCTAAGAAAGGTTTGAGGCAAGGGGATCCTCTCTCCCCTTACCTCTTTGCTGTGGCCATGGAGGTCTTCTCTTGCTTGATGTATAGGGCTGCTACTCTAAATGCTATGCCCTTCCACCCTATGTGCAAAAGATTGCAGATTACCCATTTAATGTTTGCGGATGATCTCTTATTATTTTCTGATGGAACAAATTATGGAATTCAGTGTATCCAGAAGGTGTTGACTGAGTTTAGATACATGTCTGGGTTGAAATCAAATCCATCCAAATGTGAACTTTACTGTGGTGGTATAGATGATCAATGGCAGGAGTTGGTGTCTCAACATTCAGGGTATAAGCTGGGATCACTCCCAGTTAGATACTTAGGTCTCCCTTTGCTCTCTGGTAAACTTTCCATCAAGGCCTGTAAGCCTCTTATAGACAAAGTTATGAGTAGAATCAGTAGTTGGAAGTCAAAAACACTCTCTTATGCTGGCAAACTTCAACTGGTGATGTCTGTGTTGTATAGCCTTGCTCATTTCTGGATGTCAGTTTTTATTCTCCCTAAGGCTGTAATTAAGGCTATTGAGAAAATGTGTAGTGATTTTCTATGGGGAGTAGGAGAGGGGGCCAGGAGAAAAGCTGTGGTGGCTTGGGCTCGAATTACATACCCTAAATATGAAGGGGGTCTTGGACTTAAAGATATATATACATGGAACATTGCTTGTGTGGTTAGACATATATGGGCTGTCCTGCTGAGACAAGGGTCACTATGGGTTTCCTGGTTATGGGAATATCGCATTAAAGGAGATAATTTCTGGACTCTTACCTCTAAAGCTGGGTCATGGTTGTGGCAGAAAGTGTTGAAAATAAGAGATAAAGTCAGGGGGTGGATATCTGTTGCTACTGATGGGGTATACTGGAAGGGTAATCTTATGAAAATTTTTTGCATAAGAAGGATCTGGGAGGAGCTTCGACCAAAGAAGGATAGAGTTGCTTGGGGGAAACTGGTATGGAAAGGAACTTGCATCCCAAAGAATCAGTTCCTGGTCTGGCTAGTTATATCTGACTGCATAAACACTGGAGAGAAGGTTCAAAAGTGGGGAGGTCCTGGTGATTTTGGCTGTGTGTTTTGTTCCTGTAACTTGGAAACTAGGTCACACCTTTTTGCTGGATGTTCTATGTTTAAACAGATGTATGTAGCTTTGTTTTGCAAATTTGCAGATAGACTCCCTGGGGATCAGTGGGAGGGTGAGCTTCAGTGGGCCTTAACTGCTTTCAAAGGTACCACTGTCTTAGCACAAACAGGGAAGTTGATTTGGCAGGCTCTAATTGCAACAATTTGGAGAGAAAGATGCTTGATAAAATTTGCAGGGAAGACAACTGATTTTCATACTTTGCTTCAAAGGGTTCAAGGTGATATAAGGGTGGTTGCTGATCCTGTAGTAGTGTGTTCTTTCTTTTGAATAGTTGAGTGAGTGTTTGTTTCTGGTTTTGTTAGTGTACAGGGACTGTTTGTTCCCTTTGCTCAGCTGGTAGAGATGTTGCCAGCATTGTACTTGGCTATTTGATGAAATGAAATCCCAACCGCTTCATAAAAAAAAAGATATGTATGTTTTTTTTATAAGAACCTTATGGATACTTTTATTAATCAGACTGAGCGGTTACATTATCCAGTATAAGCTTATCAATAAGGAAAATCAGTGGTCTCTCACCCCATACCACTCTCTCGTTCCATCTAGTTTCTGAATGTGCCATCAAATAAGCTGCACAATTTGTCGTTCGAGGACAGTGTCTCCAAGATATGTATGTTAAATTGTGGGAGAATGAAAATATAATAATTGTGGCCCTTGATATGCACCAAAGTCCCATCTCTTTTACTTGGATGTTTGAAGATCAAGTTGGAGCATTATTCTGCCAATTAGATGATTCTCCCTGGGAAATATTTCTTCGAAGTATATAATATAAATACATTACAAAAGTCTCAATAATAGTATGAATTAACTCAATAAATCAAAATAATAACAAAGCATGTGTAGCATAACGAAGTAATATGTTAGAGGCAAAGAATTTTTTATTAGAATAATCACTACAATAATATAATTCTCTCACCACGATATTATCGAAACCAATGAAATCAAAAGATGTAAGAAAAAAAAAGAGTTGATGCTATTGTAAAAGACAATTATATATAATAAATCCCTAGGCTTGAGGTAACATAGTCTCATAATTTCTTATAGTTGGCCCAAAAAAACCTAAGAAATAAACTATGTTGGCTATTGGTTTCAAAATTTGAACTTTTAAATGAGAATAGTTATCTACATTTCATTGGTCTAAGAAAACAACCAATACCTAGAAAATTACTTGAGAAGTAAACTAATAATTAATTAGAAAACCATTGATAATTACATTCATAAACCTCCTCGCTCTTATTCTCCCAATCAACATATCAATCATCAATTTATCAAGACGGGATGGATTGTAATTTTATTTTGAATATGTTGTAATACCAAATATCAATTAAGGAATTAGGAATCGAAAATGGAGTTATTTTTACGAAGTCTCTTTACCAATTGTAATAATTAAAAATTTTACTTTAGAATTAAACTAAGTTATTAAAAAGACAAAGCATCCTTCCTAAAATCACTCATAAAGCTGAAAATTCAGAATTAAACATGTTATTATTGAGAACTTTTTTATATTACTGTTGAGATACCAATGTCACAGCTTTAAACAATTGTACTTTAATTAAAATCCACACATTAGTTTGATTCTAACTCAAATTGCTTATTTTTAGATAATGGTGATATAAGTTATATAGAGGTAAATTATTTAAATGGATAAAGTAAAATACAGTTGCTAATAAAAGTATTAATAAGTATATAAAAGTGTCTATACATTTTCGTCCAAATTTCTGTACTGTATTGGAATAAAAGTGTACCTTTAATGTTGTGGCACAATTTGCATTTGTAAGGTTTCGTAAAAATTACTTTATAATATAAACTAAACTTCTTTTTTATCGTTATTGCACAAATTCAAATTGTATATGCAAACACCAATACTTTGAAGGATAATAATAAGCTCATATATAACATAGAATGCTAATTAAAAAGGATGTGATTTTCTTAGTTGGAGTCCAGATTTAATTAAAAAGAACGTCCTTTAGAAGATAATTAGCCATATGCTACAGCCCAACCTAAACGCTAAAACCATAAACCCAATTCTCTCCCAAAATTAAAAAATAAAGCCCAACCAAGTACATATAATAATTAATCACGTAAATCTTTTTTTTAATTAATAATGTAGAAAGACTTTTGTGTCCTTCCGTGGGATGCGGTCAGGCCTTCGAGTGCCAATTTAATCCTCTTGGACCGGAATTTCCTTATATTGGTGGGTGGGTAGATGTGTTTTTTTTTTTTTTTGATTTGTTTAATCCCACAAATTATAGAGAAGACCCATGCACCTAGGGCTGCAAATGAGCCGAGCGGCTCGGCGTTTGACTCGAGAAAAGCTCGTTCGAAACTCGGCTCGTTAATAAACGAGCCGAACATGAGCTCAGCTTTGCTCAGCTCGTGAAGCTCGCGAGCTAGTTCTACTCGATGGCTTGTTGAGCTAAAGTCGTGAGCTGGCTCGTTTAGAGCTCATGATATGTCTCAACATGTGGCTAGAGAGCTAACTCGATTACCGACTTATGGACGAATCAATTTATATCTTATGATTTTAATTCATATGTCTGTTAAATTATATATCTCACCATATATAAAGTTTAACACATTGAGTATGTGAGCAAATATATCTTAGTTTCTACTTTAAAAAGAAATTATGTATAATAGATTGCTTTGATACTATGAAATAACATGATTTTGAGTAGTTAAAATTTACGGTTTTAACTAAATGATATATGATACCAGCAAAGTAGAATATGTGATTAGCTAACAATATAAATTATTTGTATAATGATATACAAAATGAAGTGCCAAATAATAGTCAAGATTTTAGTAAACAAGCTAGCTCGAACTCGACTCGACTCGTTAATAAACGAGCTGAGCTCAAGCTCAACTCGTTTATTAACAAGCCGAGCTCAAACTGGGATAAAACTCGACTCGAGTCGGCTCATTTGCAGATGCACCCTTCCTTGCTTTGCGCAGAACACAACAAAAAAGGAATAAGGTAGGTTCTCAAGGAGAATCTCCTTATATTGATTGGAGGATGGAGGATATCTTAAAAATCGATTTTAGTTTATGACAATATTTTGTCTGAAGTTTGTACCAAAATCATTGACTGATTTGTTTGAGAAGATGTATTTGGAACATATGTGGTGCATAAACTACATTTCTACATAGCAATTTCCTCCATTGTTGTTTTATGGACGGTATTCTTTTTTTTTTTTTTAACTTACATTTACAAAATATTGTAAGGATACATCATATAATATATACACTATATACCATGGTGGTACTGCAAATGTATCACGACATAAAAAATAATAGAATAGTATATCTGGTTCAGAATCACAAAATATATGAAAGTGAATAATTTTCTTTTTATTAGTTTTAAACAATATTAAACGAATACAAATATCATTTAATCTCGTCATTTTTAAATTCATCTCATAGCTAAGATTTGGTTATGAGAAGTGTTGTACATTTATGAATTATAAACACAGATGTTTGAGTAATATACGACCTTATGTGTTATGGAAGAGATTCATTACTATGCTCATAAGTATCGATGCTCTCGTTTATAAAAAGAAATTCAGGGTACAAAATGAATTTATAATTTTAATGTTATACATTTATACATTTTAGTACAAATTTCTTCATGGTACAAACTGAATATGTACCTTATTGGTACAAATTCAATCTATAACTATACCTTCCCGTACAAATTCCTTTACTGATACAGACTAAACCTGTACATTCAACTTGTACCCCAGTGCTTAATGAGTATTATAAAATAAAAGAAGTTGCTTGGAAATCAACATTAAAAAATGTTGCTAAAAGATTTTATTATGACAATCATTCCGGAGGAGCAGACATCTCTATTCTTTCACATATGCACACTCAAGAAAACAGTCAATACTCAATATAATATGAGATAGCATGTTACACAAATCCTTTTTGGTCGTTGGTCATCTACAGTCAGAATCCCTTCACAACAAACAAGGCATATCTTATTGAGGACGAAGAAAATTCTAAAAATCCATGGCTTTTACTTCTACTATTCTTTTCTTTTTTCTGACAATAACACCAACTTTTATTCCACCGAAACACGCTAAAAGCGATTAGAATCTTAAAGGAGATTAGAAATTAGATCAATAATATTAATCCAGTCATCTGCAAGAGTAAATCTAACTTTTGATCGTGTTACCCAATCAGATCCAACGTTCAACGTCCTTGGAACCTCTTTAATCCTAACTGCAGGGTCAGTCCTAAGGATAGTGACCATTGTTCAGGATAGCCTCCACTTCAGCTCTCGACACATGACATTGAAGCAAGTCCATGTTCCAGCTCCTATTATCTAGATCTATCCATTCCTTGACCCTCAGGTTCTGTTGTGGGCCGCTCCCAATGACAAAATTTTGAAGACTAGGAATCTATAGATCTTGACCAACCCATGTATCCTCCCCGACCCGATGACTTTAATTGCTCCCATGTTGATCACTTTTTGTTGCCTCCCACAGTCTCGCTCAGACCCAAGAGGATCTACATCCTTTTTCAGATTGTAGGAATCCTCCTCTCGGGAAGTACAAAGTACAAACCCTTAAGGAGTCTCCACGCTTGTTTTGCCAGCAGGTAGGGGTGAACAAACACACCCGCAAACCGACCCCACCATCCAACCCGACCCAACCCACCCGTATTTATCGCTAAAATGAAGGTTTTGGGTTTGGTGAGGGTTTTCTTTTGTACAACCCGCCTCTTTTGGGTTAGGTTTGGATTTTGGATTACACAACCCGTAGAACCCGACCCAACCCGTGTTCCAACTATTAGTATGAGTTCGTATCTAAAAATATTTATGTCGTATATAGCCATACTTATGAGAAAATTAAGATATTTCACCATGTTTTCCTATCATTGTCTCCCTAATCTAATGCATTCTTCGACTTAAAGTTTAGACATAAATTGAATATAGTTATGATTCACATAATCCTTTTTCTTGTGTACAATTTTAATAGAATAATATATCATGGATGCGTTTGTTTATAACCTTTTTAGCCTATTTCAACAAATATCGTGAAAAAAACTAGACATATGTTGAAGTAAATCACATTTTATTAAAATTCAAATAACATTTGTGAATTTTGATACCTTTCACCTCGGTTTATTTGTTTGAAATTTTAATTAGTTATAAAATATTTTTATGATGTATAATAATTATATATTTTATGTTGGGTTGGGTTTTTACTTAAAAATATTGCCAACCCGACTCAACCCAATTAGAGTGGGTTTGGATTTAATAATTCTCAAACCGTAGTGCATGGATCGGATGATTAAAATGGTTAAACCCGAACCAACCGACCAATGTACACCCCTACCAGCAGGGCCATGTTAAAATCTTTGAAGCTTTGGAATCCCAAACCCCCTTCTGATTTTGGAGCTCAAAGAATTTCCTTCCTACACCAGTGCATGGTGCTTTTCTGCATTGACCCTGACCAGAAGAAGTTGGTGAGAAGGGAATCCATCTTCTTGGTAAGGTTCACCGAAAGGTGAAAGAGGTACATGATGTAGGAAGGGATAGCTTGTATAACTGCTTTGAGCAAAACTTCTTTCCCTCAATGAGATAGGAGAAGACTTTTCCATGCTTCTCCCCATGCTTCGCCATTCTCTGAATGAGGGATTGGAAGGTTTTGTTAACTTCTATGCATGTACTAGTTTAGACATTCAGAAAAATCATGAAATTTTTTGAGTATTCGTGTTCTTTCATGTTCCTCGGTCTCGTAATTCTGTCACACTCTGACCCCGTCGCGCATCACCCATAATCCATACATACATTTGGATGCATTCTCGATGGGCAAATAGAATTGAAATGCTTTGAATAATTCCGGTTTTGGTCATATGTTAGGCTCTGAGATGCTTATGAGTAGTAGAAGATGATCACATATATGAACAAAGGTGGTAAAGGTGAAGGGGACATGGCAACTCCAAGCCATGAATCTGGATAGACGACCCAATTCGATCCTCTTCTTGAAGGATCAGCCAAGCTGACAAACAACCCAATTTTGTCCAACATGAGGGAGTTGGGATGGACCATCAATCAAAACCCTCCCACAATTCCTATAACATGACAAAAGGAGACCAATCAACAACAAATTAATTAAAGCCGTGTACAAAAGAGGGAGAAAGATCATTGGTGGACACAAAATCATGATTCAGAGTGACGAATATTTTTAGGGTTTTGCTATTGATGAATTGGATTCAGAATTAGAGGATGCAACGACCTGAGTTTGGTTGAAGCAAAAAAGGGATAGAACCCCTCATAAACTAAGAATCTAGCACTGCAATACGGTATCATAAACACCGATCGAAACAGTGGTTGAAACTAAGACTCAAGTCCAGGAGCAGAGCTCCCTCTCGTCCTTTTAACATCACATTCCAACCTGTTCGAAAACTAGATATCATAATAATAGTGCATGAATTCTTAAACATCTGAACTAAAACTTAAGCTACTACAAGACTTCAACCGAGAAGACGATAAGAAACTCTAACCGTGAACAACGGAACCTGCAAGCCTGTCACAGCATCGAACAATACCGCGAAGCAAAACTAGTGGTGGTATCAGTTCTATTCCCTCTGCCATCAAGATAGAAAATTCTTTCTAAACAAAAAAACCATCCCAAGCTACCTATGTTTCCTTTCTGCTCCATAATTACAATGCCTGTTACCCGGAAGGCCAGAACTCACCCTAAACACCTCACCGCCACTGGAGAAAAGACGCTGCTATACATGCTATCATGCTAGGTGACCAGAGTGGAGGATAAACGGTTCCATATAAGCGTAATGATGCTTAAACAACTTGTATGTTTGTGTGTTGCTTCTTGCACTGCCTCTTGCCCTGTTCTAAGGGATTAACTCCTGCCTTCAGAGGAAGCCATATCGCTTTTATCGGAGTTCAAATTGATGTTTGATTCCATCTTGTTGCCCGACCCAGTGCTGTTGTTTTGTTCCTGTTGATTCTCGTTCTTCTTCGAGTTGAGGAACCGGCCACCGCATCCTCTAGCTCTTCTCAGTGCATGAAGATGCCGAGACTCGTGCAAGTATGGCTGCCAATTGAGTTACAATTTCACGTCATACCACATGAAAATGGAGTGAACTTTTGTAGTACAGATTAACTTACGCAGTTCAAGGGGTAAACAGTATACAGAACGAATAGAATATAACAACTGGGATCCACATAATTCCCCGTGATCCAGTTAGCGAGGCGCAAATTGGACTTGCACTTGTGATAAAGGAGTAGACTATCAGAGTAGAAAGGAGCATTAAAGCACAAAGTCTATGAAGTCTGACAAAAGTAGCAGCCACAAATATTGCAGGACTACTATTTTAAGTGGCATAATTTACCTTTCTGTTCTTAATAGCTTTGTTTTCCGATTCAGCTTTTGCACGTGATTGCCGGCGTCTCAATATACCATGGTACTGTTTTGCATTAACAAATACTGGCTCCTCAACTGCATCTGATGGCAAAGGCACTCCAGCTTGCTGCATTCCCATTAGTTGAACATGAACCTGAAAATGCTTTCCTTAAGTATGAACAATAGTCAAAGCTGTTGTAAGTGAAAAACCATATTCCATCAGGAAATACTGCTACAAGCGCATGTAATGTTACACTATAGAGACAGAAAGGCCCAATCAATTACCATAGGTGGAGCACCATATGGCTGCGGGGCATATGGCTGGGAATCATAGGGAGCAAATATGCTTCTATAATAAGGATCTGGATAGGGATAAGTTGCAGGCACCTTCATTTAAACAGGATAAGAACACATAAGTACTTCGACAATTCCACTATGTTTATAAGATTCCAGAAGCAAGGATTCTATTTCAGATGTAAGGAAATTCAACCGAAACACAGAAGTTGACCACATATATACAGAACGTGCAACTACAAAGGATTTAGGTACCATAGCTTGTCCAGCCCCAAGTTGCGGAGCAGGCGAGAAAGGAAAGTTCAGGGCTGGACGTGTCACTGCTGCTGGAGGCGGAGATTGAATCTGATGTTCTGAGTTTTTCAGTTGCTCATCAGCTTCATTGTTTTCTGAAAAACGATCTTTCAAATGCATGAATATGATATGCTTGCCACAGAAACAAGTTCTACTACAGCCCCTCAGATGAAGCTAAAATTGTACCAACATTATCAGCAAGGAAATTATTGTGGAGAATAAAGCCACCTACTGAAACCAATGACGACTGTCCATTACATCCGAACAAGACAAAGTTAAATGGCTCCCTAACACAGAGCCGACTGGTGCAACCAATTCAGTAAGGTAAATTCACAATCTTTTAAAGGACATTGAACTTTATAAGCTCGTGCAATGGGTTCTGAAAGTAAATAACAAGTTGTCACAATCATGGAACCACCAAGACCAAGCTGCACCGAGTTATTGAGATAAATACCAGAACGATCATGCGTGGACGACGTCATGAGCCCTCCTCACAGAAGCAGGATGGCCAAAGTCTGCAGCAAAAATAAAGGACATCCAAACTTCAAATACAAACGCAAGGAGTCCAACATGATCAAATGAAATGTACTGCAGTCTGCAAGCAGCCGAGAAAGCAACAGCATGAAGGCCGTCCGTTGATGAATAACCATGCATATACTAACACGCATCCGAATTCCGCAGCATCAACAATTGAAGCAACGGACATCCATACAGGAAGAACAGAAAATCCCCAAAAAAGGAAAAGAGGTAAAAACAGTTTGCATGAACAAATTTGTAGCAGTTGAACAGTTGAAAACCAGATATCTCGCATGATCAATCCCTAATCCTGAAAACAGAGTTGAATAACCTAGCAAAATTCTAAAATTCCCAGTTAATGCAGCCAGACTAACAAGTCCCTCGGGCCATTAAACCACAGCGAACAGTGCACCAACTATGGCGCGAATTCAAAACAGAAATCAGCCGTCCTTCCATAACCAGTAGTCGCCCGAAAAACTCGAAATTCCGTTGAATTGTGGGTACGGAAGACGAAAAGGACAGCCGACCGAGGGGGAAAAGAAATAAAAGAGAAGAAAGAGGTGGCGGCGGCGCAGATTCGAATCGAGATTGAGGAACTAACTCGACGGATTACGAACGGAACACAAACCTGAGAAGGAAACGGAATTAGGGTTTGTAAGTGGAAACAAGGCACGCTGACCTTTTCCGATTCGGTTATCTTCTTTGCTAACAGAGCTCAGCTGTACGGTTTCGGTTGATACCGACTTCTTCCCCCGCTGCAGCAGCTGTTGCTTCTGTTGCCACAAACGAAATGGAATCCCTTCTCTCTCTGTCGCGCTGTGGCTATTACAGACAGGGTAACTAAAACCCCATACCGGGAAAAAAAAAAAAGAAGAAAAAAAAGAAACAAAAACAGTTTCCCCAGAAGAATTACTTTTTTTTTATAGGTCCCCAGAAGAATTACAGGAAACAACCTCCTCTAGTCCTCTGTAATAATTTTTACCGATAAAAAAATCAAACGTATTTATATAAGTTATTTTTCTTGGAACTATTTATAGTCTCTCGAGAACTTTTATATTTTTATGTGTTAATATTTTTGTATGGCCTGAACTTTGATCAAAATAAACATTTTCACCAATCTTTTTATCTATAATATCATGGTCTGAACTATACATCAAAATAAACAATTTGACCAGATCTTATTTTTGACCGTTAACTTAGACGGTCAACGCGCCATGCCACTGTCAATTCAGCAAATTTCAATTAATTTTTTTTTAATTTACACCTATTTCCATTTTCTATCCTTTATCATTTTGAATAGAAAAAAAAATAAAACAAATTTTCAATTTCTGGGCAAATTTTTTTTATTATAATTTTTTAAAACAATTTTTAAAATTTTTAAATTATCTTTTCTTTCCTTTTCAATTTCGGCACAAAAAATAAAACAAATTATCATTTTGAATTGAAAATTTGTTTTATTTTTTTCGTTCAAAATGATAAAGGAAAGAAAATGGAAATAGGTATAAATTAAAAAAATTAATTGAAATTTGCTGAGTTGGCAATGACATTGTGCGTTGACCGTTAGTCAACGCGTTTGACCGTCCAAGTTAACGGTCAAAAGTAGGATCTGGCCAAATTGTTTATTTGATGTATAGTTCGGGCCAAGATGTTATACATCGAAAAGATTGACCAGAATATTTATCTTGGTCAAAGTTCAGGCCTTACAAAAATATCTACTAGGAAGAAAAGACAAAAATGGAGTAAATTCTTTGAATAGAAGACCCTGATTTGGTGGGAAATGAACAGTACAATCAATGAAGCCGTCTGGCCTGGCGACTCTCTTCCAACAAACAGAACGAGTGACCCCGTGAATCTTCAGCTCAAAGAATAACACATACATATACGTTCTTTTTTTAAATTCTCAAGAACAGTAGATTTTATAAATTTCCAAAATACACATATTTTGATCAAATCACTTGTTAGAAAAACGATTTATACTTTAATTGTTGGCGACAGAATCCAAAGTAAATCATTTCAGACAAAATCGATCATTAGTTGATCGCCTCTGAATAAAGCGATTTATAATATAATCGGTTATAGGTATAATATGCCCATCTATTATGTAGTTTTATCAAACATGTCCCTAGACTATTTTTTATATCAAACATGCCCTTTTACTTTGGAAAAATGATCAAACATGCCCTTCTGTTAAAATTTTCATTAAAAAAATCGCCAACCATGGTTGAACCGAGATGTAGATGACCCGACATTGGAAAATAAGAGCGAAAATGTCAGTTTTGTTCCCCATTTTATTTTCTAGGTCTCGTTAAAGTGAAATTATTAGAGGTATTTGGCTCTACAAAAGAAACCAAAAAATTTTAAAGTGAAATTACCAAGGATATTTTAGACATTTGTGTCGCCCAAACCAAGGTACGACCATGATTGACTGTTTTGGGATGAAAATATTAACAGAAGGGCCTGTTTGATCATTTTTCTAAAGTACAAGGACATATTTGATGTAAAAAATAGTAGAGGAACATGTTTGATAAAACAACATAATAGAGGGGCATATTATACCTATAACCCTAATATAATTAGGAAAACGAACCACCTTCACATCGCTTGAAAGTTGCAATGCAAAGTATTGTTAAACTATCAATTGCACTGGTATTGTCTATTAGTTATGATTAATAATACTAAGCAGCCAGTTTGTAAAAACTTTATCCTTTTGGAAATGTGCTTTTCGTTTTTAAGTTTATATTTGTTGATTAGTGTTTTCCTTTTTTATTTGTTTTTACTTTTACCTCTCCTTTTGTGAGATGAATTCTCTAAATAAACATGTTTTAAAAAAAATTCAAAATACACAAGTTATAAAAAAAATTCACAAAATACACATGTTTGAGTATCACCACGGTGAATGCCTACAGTTGACAACAGTGGTGATACCCAAAACATGTGTATTTTGGGAAATATTTTTTATAACGTGTGTATTTTGTGATTTTTTTCCCCTTTCGTTTTGTGGTGGTGGTTTGTTGGATGGGGATGACGATGATTCGGGCAGGGAGGAGGGAAGCTGACCGGGAACTGAAGGAGAGCTAGTTCAGTCCAGCAAGCGAGTGGACAGGAGTGCACAGACACAGAAACTGACCGCTGACCTATGTTCTTACGTGTCCTGTATTTTTGTTTTTTCGTGTACTTGTTTAACTGCTGGTCTTCATTCAAGTTTGAGTAGTGCTAGGGTTGGGCTCAGATTGGATCTGGTGTGGGTGGGACCAAGGGGGAGGAGGAAGTGTGAAAGGAAAGGGAATACTCACTCTGCGGCAGCATGGAATAGAATGGACAATAGGGCCCATTAAGAAAATAATCGAACACTCGATTAGGCCCAGTTGGACCCGATAAACTTCGTGGAAATAGCTAGGCTCGCCTATGTATATGTTTGTACTTTGTAATTTGGGCCCAAATCCAACACTTTGTACCCAAACATGGAGAGGACAGGGATACGGATCAGTTTGGAATGTTTATCTCATCATCAGACATTAGTAATCTACAAGTCTACTCTAAATCTAAATCTAATGTTCTAATCTAATCTAAATCTAAACAATCCTCCATTAATATATGGTAGAGTTTTGTGTACTTTTCTCCATTTCAAATTTCCTGCAACGAGAGTGAAAATAGGAAGGTCATTTTTGTCTTTACACATTTATTATTTATTTCATATAAAATAGCAATATCAAGATTTGAACCCGGGTCTCTTCAAACAAAGATAACAATAACAACCAGTTACACTAAACAAATTTATTGCATCCTTTTTTATACAAAAAATAGACAAAGTTAATCTCTGAAAATCAGAGGACTTTTTAATCATAATTAGCAAGCTCACTAAGTCTAATGTATGTATTTTTATCGAGCTTGATACTTCTATTTTCATAGTAGAGTTTCATGTAATTTTCTTCCATTTTAAATGGGTAATTGGCTAACATGGAAGAAACTAATTATGTAACTACGTGTTGTATCCTTGCATTTTTCAAATTAAATTTAAATTTATTGTTTTTTTATCTTTGTTCTTTTCTCTTTCTAACTTCCTCCGAAATTTCATCCATCGTGCAATAGTTTGCGCCTTTCACTTCCCAGTACAAGACTGTCATTGAAAATCAATCTTCAGATATCTCTTGGCACTACGGTTTTATTGTTGGGATTTTAAGCTGGGCGAGTAGAAGATTTCAACTTCGATATCAATTCATGGCGAATAGAATGGAGTTCATCAATAACTGAAGTTGTAGAAGGAAGATTAGAAATTGAATTTTTGGTTGAATATATGCCTCTTGAGATAGAAATTTGGTTGTACAACGGAGAGTGGTGGGTATTGGATCTTTAGGTTTATGGTTTTTGCAACTGTCACAACCTATTTCTATCTTAAAACGAGGAATCATTGATTGATTGTTTGAAATAGGTCGCTTCTTTATTCAACCTACTGGAACTAATAGATAAGGAGTGTCTAATTTTGCGCCTTATTACTTTGATCAAGTCTATTCGCATATTGGAGATAACCCTGATTTTTTCCGTTTGCTCTCAAGTTGTGATGGTCCCCTCTTAGCTGAATTTGTAGTATATAGATGACTTGAATCAACAACTCTCCATTTTTTTTATTAGTGACATATTGTTTCTAAAAGGAGAGCATTGAACACTTTATATAGGATTGTGAGGTTTAAGATTTAGTTTCAAACTATCTTATGGGGTGTGTGAGAATTTCAGTGAGCTTTTATACTCTATATTTCTTGACTGTAAAAATAAAACTAACCAATAGCATTTTAACAGGGACTTAATTAGCATTATGAAAATGGAGTCAATGATACATTTTTATATTTTATATTCTTAAATGATTATGATATTTCTCCGAATGTTCGACCTATATATTATTTCTTTATGTATCATCTCGATCGAATGATTATCAATAAGATTAAACGGGTTAATAGACTTAAAAGTAACATAAAAATAAAAATAATCAAATATGAGTATTCCGGCCAAAGGGCCGGGTTATAAGCTAGTTAATATAAGGATGTTCTCCTTTAAAACCCTTCCATTCACTTTTTTCTGGATGCTGCGCAGACCTAGGAAGGGCCCTTTGGTCATTTTTTTTTCAGTTGGGCTTGAATTTAATCAAATTTACTTACACGAGCTTCTTCCGATTTTTGTTTTTGAGTTGGGCTTGGATTTAATAACATGTTTTAACAATGTAATATATGTGGTGCCTTCTACGTACCCCGGTGAAATCCGGGGTACCACATACTTTAAGCACGAAAATGCTATCTTGATATCGAATTAGCAGGATTTTTGGGCATGATACTATACCATAACTCTTAATGAGTGAATCTGTGGTCCTAATTATCTAAATCATAAACTATAAACCCTAAGATGGTGCATTGATTTTTTTTGCCTATATTTGGACGAATCATAACCATCAATTATTGTTTCTAATTAAATTGATCTTGGGGTATAAGATTTAGAGAATTAAGACCTCGATTTTGATCTTTAACACTATGTTTCCGAAGGAAGGGAGGAAAATGAGGGGGGGGGGGGTGAAGGAAAATTAGGAGGGGAGGGGAGATTTGGAGGTGAAGGAAATTGGAAGGAAAATGTTGTTTTATGAAGGTAAGTAGGAAGGAAAGTGTGTATTGGGAAGTGCGCTTAATATATTATTTTATTAGTTATGTAATAGTAAATAAAGACTTTGTTATAATTGAATTACTATTAATTTCGAAATTTTCTCAATAGTCTTTTATAATTGAATTATTTTATTATAGAATGCACTCTCTAATAATTCTGAAAATCCAACCACAAAAAAAATTACGAAAGAAAAGTCTAAAATAAATACGTACAAGTAATTAGTCCAAACAAATAACACATAAATTAAAATAATTACACAAGCGAATTGCAAGACATGGCTAACGTTTGTGTAGCTGCGGGATGAGTTAGCGTGGTTACTTAATTTTTAGTAATCACAGAGGCTACCTTAATCTAAACCATTCATTATTTCTTCTTTATTCTATTTTTAAATTAATGATAAAGATTATATTAGGATAATTTTGGAAATAAAAAATATACCACACCTGATTACTCTATAAATTATATCTAAACCCTAACCCTACTGTAACCCGCCGCTTACCACCACACTCTCTGCCCCACTACCTCCCGCCGTCCGCCCTCCCTCCCCAAAATCCCCTCCCACACGAGAACCCCCTCCACCACCGTCCGGGCAGCCAATCACCCCCCCCCCCCACCTCCCTCCCTCCATTGCCTCGCCACTTTTGAATCTTCCTCTGACGTTGCTGACAGCGGCGTTGGGTTCCGAACATGGATCGCCGGTCGAGGTCGTGGTTAAAAACGGTAACCCTGAAACATCCCGACCTTTTTCGAAAATCAAACCACAACTCAAACCCAAAACCGGTTACTCCGGAGCAACCAAACCATTTTTTTTAAATCAACAAGCCGTCATTATTTAAAAATTTCAAACTAAAAGCCCCAAAATTTGGGCAATCAATATCAAAATACTTAAAACAACTTGACCCATAATCCTGAACCTTGAATCTCCAGTACATAAACTCATAATCATGAACAAAATAATTAACTCATCTAACTTGACTCCTCACAAGCTCATTGACTTCTCATTAGTGCTGGTTCGGCTGCTCGCCTAGCTTTGCTCCTTCTTGGCGTCCACCACTGCTAACCCATCCTCAACCTGGTGAGTGAGAAGGGGTCAGTCTCGTCGGAGCAAGTCTGATAGGGTCGGAAAGCCAGTTTACTTCCTAAGGTCTTTGCCTAAGGAATCTCCTTACTAAAACACGTTATTAGCGTTTCATTCCCTTAGATGAAAGTCGTTCTCACTTTCATCCTTCATACTTTGCTTCCTTAATATCTTATTTCAACATCAACTCATAGAAGTTCTCGCCTTTTCTCCTTAACTCAACACAAAACACTAGGACCACCGCGTTACGTCTCGCCGTCTGGTGTCCTACCCTAGTATGGCAACTGCGTTACGTCTCGCCGTTCGGTTGCATACCCAACTCGGTAATGGCACTGCGTTACGTCTCGCCGTCCAGTAGTGACCCCAATATACTCGATCAACTGCTGCGTTACGTCTCGCCGTCCAGCAGTGATCCGACCATCTACCGCGTCCAGTAGTGGCCCAACCGCCCGGGGGTTCCTCATACTATCAACCATACATTCATACATACACAAGCACAACGCGTGCCTCCACCTTAAGTAGGCGGTGGGATGCCTCACACACATTATCGCGCTTACTTGAAAAATAACAAACATAACTGAATTAAAAGACATAAACTAAAAGACCTCGACGGAGATTTTACCCCCTTTACACTCACCTTAGCAAGTCGGCTTTCTCGAATTAGTCGCCAATTTTAGGAGCTCAAAATACTCTTTAGTAACCTCTTTCTCGTGCCTAAGCCTCGACATACCATTGTTACTAGGGGTGTTCAAACGGATTGGTTACCGTGGTAACCATATTAACTGGTAGCATTAAGTTAATTTGTTTTTGTTAATTTGGATAATTGGTTTGGTTTGGTTAAACAATTTAGCTTATTTGGTTTAGGTGGTTTGGTTCGGTTTCAACACTGCTAACCAATGAAACCAATTAATTATACATCTAATATACAAAATTATTTATACTTCCATGCAACCAACCAAACCAAACTTTCGTGATTCTCTATTTTATTTCCACGTGCACAACAAACCAAAACATTATGGGTCAAAAATTAAATGGGTCTGCCTATTTACTAAACCAAAACATTTTGGACAGCTATTATACTTTAGGATTACGTACAATACCATGACAGCCACCTCAAACTATGAATGGTATTGGTATGTATTTAATATTTATGTTAAGGGTTTGTTGTAAGCTAACTATATTAGTTGCAGAGATGATGAATGATGTATTAACTCGAATGATGATGATAATTATGGATGGTTAGTCTTATTATTATTGCTTATATATAATGATAGTTTATAATAGTAAAAACATATGATTATGTTTTATTCATTAACAAGATAATTGTTTTCATGTAATGTTATGTTATTTGGTTAATCAGATTATCCGATTAACCAAACCAATTAAACTTTGGTTTGGTTAATTTGGTTTGCGTGTTAATTTGGACGATTTGGTTAAGACATTTTATTCCATGGTTAATGAAATTTAAACTTAATTGGTTTGGTTATTGCCAAAGTAACCATTTGAACACTTCTAATCGTTACACCTTGGCCTCCTTCTCGTTCTTGTTCTCCTCCTCATCACGTTGAACAATACATCCCCCAGTCCAAAGAATGTCCAATGTCCCACGTGAGTAGCTTTTATGATGATGATTATTTAACTTGCAAAAATTAGCCTAATGACATGCACCCACACAAGCTGTGGCAAAACCCCAATACACGTTACTTACCCAAATGATAACATGGCCATCGCTTCTCGGATTGAATCCACTCACTAGTTTTTTTGACAGTGGTAAGTGTTTGTTGCTTTTATTCCTCAACCCAATTGTTCAGATACATTATAGAAGAAAGGATCCAAAATATTTAGAGCATTAATCCAATCTTCTGGCAATGAACCCTGCTTGAACGATCTTGCCACCCAGTCAGCCAGAAAGTTGTTCTTCCTAGAGAAGAAATCAACCTTAATTCTTGGCTCGCCCTCAAGGATGGCTTTCAAAACGCTGAGTCTTGCCGCACAGGTCCACGGCCATGATTCAGGTGGCCTTGTCAATGCGTTCACAAGGGAGATACAATCTGATTTAACGTGAACCGTTGCGTTCAATCTCTGGGCAGCCAAGATAGCTTCCTGAATAGCCATAGCCTCCGCTTCAATTGGTGAGGAACAAGAAACAGGTCCAGCCGCTCCATCGCAAACCTGTCCATGGTCATTGAAAATCACATAACCATATGCCGCCTCCTGGGATTCATTCGAGAATGAACCATCGCAGTGAATCTCAAAACTGGGATTGCTTGGCGGTGGAGCAGGTGTGTTCTGGGGGGGTAGCGCTGGTCCGCATGGAGTCTCTGCTGCCTTGGAGCTTTCGGACACTCGGTCCACTGTTTCAGATCACGAGCAGCATTGGAGTACGATCGAGGTGGCCATGGAGTGACATTGTCGAGCACCTTCTCGTTTCTTGCCAACCATATAGTCCATAAGAGGTATATGATGAAGTGAGTTGCTTGTTCTGGGATTCCTTTGTGAACCTGAAACAGCCAATCCAGAGGATTTGTTAGGGGAGGTGGTGTGGTAATGTCGGGGAAACATGCTTTCCACGTCTCTTGGGCATGGCCACATTCAAAAAGGCAGTGGTGAATGGTTTCCGGGCAGCCCGTGCAAACTGGGCAATCCGGGTTTGGCGAGCACTTTCGGGTTTTCAGCTTTGATTTTGTGGCCAACGCTCCCTTCGCACATCTCCATAGAAAGAACTTCATTTTTGGGGGAAGTGCCAAGCCCCACATCCACCTCCATTTTTCCTTCTCGCTGGTAAGGGAGGGTATATCCTGTTCCGCTGTCCTCTGGTTTCTGTTGTGAACCGATCGGTAGGCCGAACCCACCGAGAAGCATCCATCAATCGTTGGTTTCCAGGCCCAAAAGTCGGCTGCCTCCTGATGGCCGATTGGAATTCTTCGAATTGCTTCTCTTGAGATGATGTGAACCGATTTAATCTCTCATCATCCCAGACTCGGTTCTGATGGTCGATCCATTCCGCCGCCAGAACAGATGGCGGGTTATGTCTCTGTAATCTTTGTCCCTGTAAATTTCGCACCCATGGATCTTGGAACACCCTCGTGCTGAATCCGTTGCCAATCACTCTTATGACATCCATCTCAAGCTGCCCTTTAGCAATCCACAGGCTGTTCCAAATCCACTCACTAGTTGCTGCTTCATGTTTCTAACTTCCAAACCAGCTCACCAATAGCTTTTGCATCATCGATTGACGAGGTAGGCCATTGGTTGATTTCTCATCTGTTTCAATTTCCACACCCTTCTTCGGCTCGATATGTGGGACCATGACTCTGTTAATAGCATCAGCTATTTGGCTGGAGACTTGAGCCGATCAGACAGTGGAATCCCTCTCACAAAAAGACAATGGACTTGGTCCATTTAATCCCCTACACCATGCCATTCTTCCCACGCTATAACTCAACTCTCGATTCGTTGAATCCTCCCCGACGGCCTTCTATCCGCTCAAACCTCGTCCCCTCTATCAACTCCGTCCTTGTGGTTTGCTCCAGCCTTCATTGTTGTCCCGCTACGCTTTGTTCAGTCGCCATCAATGTTTATCTCTCGGGTAATTAAGGCTAGAGGAAAGGAGTTGGATCACAGCGGCCCTGGGCTTCTTCAAATGGCAAGCTACGGAATCCCTAGTGTTGTCTCGACTTGAAAACTGCGGAGTGGGCTGGGGATTTTCCGATGGGGAAGGAATATGGAGAGGTACTTGTCGCTAGCTAGGTTTAGCTTTTAGTTTACCTTTGCTAAATTAGGTCGCCTAATTATATGTGCAAAAGAGTAACCGAAGAAATCATGGGCAGATTAAAATAAGAATAAATGGTCTCAATTAATCGCATGGTCTTAATTCTAGGATTAGGCTCGATTAAGTTTAAGTACGTAATCGTCGATCCATCCACTCATTTATTATGGTCGAACCTGAACTCGGAATGTCGGGGTGTTACAAACCCGATCAGAGAGATCAAATACAGTTCGTCGGAGAGCGTTCAGCTTTGCTTCTGCAGGTAATCTAGAATGGTAGTGTTTGCATTGGTAGAGGATTTGCTTTGGTAAGCTACCTTGCTTTTTATTATGGTACTGTTTGCATTATGCTTTGGTAGTGTTTGCATTATGTTTTGGTGGTTACCTGCATTTTCTTTGGTATTGTGTGCATTACGTTTTGGTAGTTAATTGCATTTGTGTTGGTTAGATGGAGCATTATGTTTTGGTAGTTATCTGCATTTGGTTTGGTAGTGTTTGCATTATGCTTTGGTAGTTTGTCTGTATTTGTTTTGGTAGTGTTTGTATTGATTTGTTTATGCAATGGTATTGTTTTGATTTTACAGTAGTAGTGGTATTTGTTATTTTGGTATTTGTTTGACTTTTGTAATGATATAGATTATTTATATTGGTAGTTTTCGTGTAATGATATAGATTTATTTCTGCAATGGTATTGATGTTTTTCGAAATGATAGTGGTTTTCTAATGGATTGGTAGTGATTTCATGTTTTTTCTTTTGCAGAAAGATTGAGAAAAATATGAAAAGGAGATCTGGCTAGAGATTACGGAAGTGAGAGAAAGAAAAAGAATTGTAATTAATAGATTTTTGTAACTACCTAAACTGTTATTTATTAAAATTAATTAATTAATATAATTTTTTTTTCATACTCAATTTACCCTTAATAACCACGGTCCGTAACCGCTCCCGTGTAGCTGCAGTAAAACCCTCCAATTTAAAAAGGAAACGATCAAGTATTAAAGTAGCTGAAAGAAAAGAAGAAAAAAAGGGTAAAATTGCACAACACAGCTTCCCCTCCAATTTGGAGGGTAGCTTGGTACAGTGTTTTTTCTTTTCCTTTTCTTTCCTTGGTTACTGTTCCAGGTCTACAAAAACAGGGGAGCATATGAGAGCTTGTGTTTCCCCTCTAATTCCTTCCCTTCCCTCCCTTTCCCTCCTTCCAGAACATAGGGTAAGGGTTAGAGTGTAGTATCATGTCCGAAAGATAAATCAATTTAAGTTCTAGATAGCATTTTCTTACTCCTGGTATGCGGTCCTAGATAAATCAATTTAAATTCTATATATATTATCTATCTATCTATAAGATATATAATGGGGATTCATTCCTTTATTTTCTTCCATTTCAAATTCTTTGCAACGAGAATGAAAGTAGAAGGCGTACATTCGTCATTACAATTGTTTATCTTTATTTAAAAAATATATTAGTATTGAGGTTTGAACCCGAATATCTTCTAAGGAACACAAGAAGTTTAACTAATTACACTGAACAAATTTGTTGTTAATTTTTAAATTAAAAATATATAAAAATCAAAAAATTCATATGACTATTCCAACATGGTTAGCTAGCCAACTAAGTCCGTCTTAAGTATTTCTTTAGCATTTAATACTTTGATTTTCTTTTTTAATTCTTTTATTTCAATTTTAATGATCAATTTAATTTATTTTTTATCTTATAAATGGTGGACCAAATACCATTGATTTGAATATTGCATTTCAAATTGCAATTATTATATATATAGAAGTGATGTGGAATTCTGAAGGTATAATTTTTTAGAATTATCATGAAGCAACAATATTTTGTGCAAAGAATAAGTGACTGATCTTATTTTTTTATAGTCCGGTTAATCGCCAAGCCTCAAATGTTTTTGCTAATCTAGCATGATTATATCAACAATCATGAAACGAGATTGAGTTTAATGTACTGGTTTATTTCACCATTTTTGTATGTGTTAGTAAATTTGTAAAGTCGGTACAAGTGACTGAGTAAAAATTACTTGATTATGTATTTTGATTCTCAGATAAATAAAACAGTTCAAAGTTTGATGCAATTGTATATTCACTTGGTTGGTTGAATGAGTGTTTTTTATCATATATAATAATTAGCTTATTTAAAATCTTTGTGATGTTTGAAATTTTTTATGTATGGTTTATAAGTATACTTATTTTTTGCAACATCAGTACAATTGATTGCAATGTAGTATTTATCAGGTATTCGAAGTCGAGTACTGAGTGCACTTACTTAATGTCTTTTAGGTTGGGTGCAATGTAGTATTCATATATGTCAAAATATTTATATATTCACTAACATTAAGTAATCCGGTACATTGACACCAAATGTAGCACCAAAATTCACGACCCACCAACCTATATATATATATATATATATATTTGAAAGTTACATTATTGTTGATTGTGAATGGTTTTTA